CCTTCCCACACCCTGAGATGTACTCTCAGCATCCTTCTCGACCATCCACGGTCTCATCACTTCCCTCCTTCAACCTGCTTCCGTCCTTATTCCCTGCATGACTCGGAGCTTCAAATGTGACTCTTTTAGTCCCCACTAACTTATCAGCATAAAGATTTATTTTGCTCTTGCTATCAATATTCCAAACCCAGGCCTCACAAGGAACTAATTCATCCCCCTTCCCTCAAACTTGGTCAGAGCCCAGCACCCACTGAGCGGATGAAATACTCTATCATCATTTGGATGAGTTTGGCCTGACTGTGAGTTTGGAGCTAAAGTTTAGGTTCAGGTATTAAAGAGAAATGAATTCTAAAGTGTCAGTGGTCTTGGGCGGAGTAAAATTTGTATAAATAGAAATAAATGCATAAATGAAGTAGATAAACATATACATAATAAGATGTGTGTAAATATAACGAAGTCAGCACTTACTAGACCCTCTGTCCCCTCGGCACCTAAGGCCATACACCCCCAGCTGTACGCAGAGCCTCCCTCACTGCGGCTCTGTCCTAGACACACGGAGTCGGAAGTCTGCAAAATGCTGGCTGCCACTGCTGTTGTCTACAATAAGTATGGCAAGAAAGTAACCCAAGCATAATAAAATGTGCATGATTATTCAACACCATGAGGGTTTAAAGATACTCAATCACTAGATACTTTTAGTTGCCCAGAAAAGTTCATGAAAATGCTCATTCTTTTCAAATGCGGATGGCAGGCTTAGCACAAAGATTTGAACAGTGTTACATATTACAGTTGATCTGAAAATGTATGCAGCTAAAATAGTCAAGATCCTTCAAAAATAGGAAGCACTTAAATCAGTCTCTAGCAGCAAGGCAGGGGACTTGGTATCGGGCTGACCTCTGCCAGCTGAATAGCAAGGCACACATCAAGGAAGCGAAGGGGTTAGTGCTATTGTTTTTTTCTCCAATTCTTACTCAGTTCATGCCAAGTTTGAATACAGCAGGGATGTATTTTGTGGATGATGTCTGCAGCTCACCTGCACATGAACCTACTGCACATGCTCCAAGCCTGTCCTTAGAGAGGTGGCGGGAGGAACAGATGTGCTGACATCCTAGCAATCAGAAATCAATGGCATTTCAAAAGAGATGTGGAACCATGATTAATAATGTCCTGAAGTGCCCTAGCCAGTTTGGCTCAGAGGATAGAGTATCGGCCTGCAGACTGAAGGGCCCCAGGTTCAATTCTGCTCAAGGGCACATGCCTGGGTTGCGGGCTCCATCCCCAGTAGGGGGTGTGCAGGAGGCAGCCAATCAATGATTCTCTCTCCTCATTGATATTTCTATCTCGCTCTCCCTCTCCCTTCCTCTCTGAAATCAATAAAATAAAAATGCCCTGAAGTATCTTTGAAAATAATAAAAACCAAACCAGAAATAAAATAAGGGGGAAAAACAAAAACAAAAACAAAAACCAAACTACTAAATCATGGTTTAAGTGTTTAATTTAAAATGTAAGTGTGCCTTGCATATGCTAATTATACTCACATAAGCTTAGTATAAGTCATGAGAGCATGCCCCTCCTCAGTCAGGCCTGGGAGCAAGGCCCACATGTCTTCTATTGCCCTGGGCTAACCTGCCATGGGCAGGGCAGTCTCTCCCCATCCCCTTGGGCCCTGTAGGCCAGCATTTCATCCCACCAGGCTCCATGACATGGGGAACAAGGATATAGAACGTGGGCTTTTCCTCTTGAAGGAAGCAGTGTTGCAAAGCCTGAAGTGCTCATGATCTTGTTTGATGGTTGGTTGGTCTCCTGACACCTGGGGGCCGGGGGAGGGGGAGGTTCCCTCAGCCTGGGGACAGCATCTGACCTTGTGCTTCGTGACTTACATAGATGATCCGGAAGTGTCTGCAGGCCCAGTCATCCTGCTCTTCCTCCGAGATCATCTCCACGGTGATGTCTCCGTAAGTGATGGGCTCTTCCGTGAACGGCCAGTAATGGTCACATTTCACCTGAGGTGGAAACCACACAACATGTTCAAACAAACAAGCCGGGGGAGGCATGACGTCTGTGCTCTTTTAGGGAAAACGAAAGCACTTGTGTCTGAAGAAGTGTACGTGACACTGTGAGGTGAAATAGGAAGCAAGAGCAGGTTCTGTGTGGGTAAGCACTCCATCCACGGCGTGGCTGGTGCGGGTCTTCCTGCTGAGTGGGACAGCCCCGTAGGCACTTACCCTCCTTTTCTCATTGCACTGAGTGAGCATGACAATAATCTGAGACTTCTGCTGTAGGACCATCTTCCAGAAGTCATTTCTGGTTTCAGGCAGTGGCCCCTGTGTGGCGATATACTCCTGGGATGAGTTGTATCCCTGAAAGGTAAGTGACAGAGTTGTCACCTAAGGAACCAAGGCCGTTCTGCATAAATTAGAAAAACACTGAAAATGTACTGGCGATAAACCTGGCAATGGATCTCACATCTGTACCGTGTTCCCCTGTTCCCATGGAAGAGGCCTTCAGAGTGACTGACTGTATAGGTCAGTGTGATTTTAAGCATGATCCTTGGGAAGCCTATAAAATCACACCCTCACTTTCTAAAATGATAACTACTATCTTTATAGATATTTTAAAACACAGGTATTCAGGGGGAGCCCTTTGAGTTTGGCTGCCAAAAATATTTAAACACTAGAAAGATGATTTTTAATGTAATGACCTACTGTTTTCACTCGTCCTTTATAAGGAAATATGAACATAATTAATCTCTGGGATTCTTTGTTTCCTATTGTTTATTCTGAGATGAAATAGTGGAAACTGTTCTCTAGTAGAAGAATGGCTTTCTTTTAAACCGTTCGACGCACCCCTGTATCCCTGATGGGTTTTCCTCAGCCTGCGCTGGAATTTGGATGCCTGGTTTACTTTTTATTTTTTATTTCTTTTACTTACAGGAATGTAGTTGGCATTGATGTAGTCTGCTCCTTCCTCTTCATTCATGGAGATTAATCGCACTCGGCTAAAGTCATCTGTACAGAATCAGAAGAGAGGAAATGTTAAAAATTAGAGTGGAAGGAAGAATTGTCTAGATCCTGTCTTCCCAATATCAAATCAAAATTATCAGTGACAGAGTAGGGAGATAAAGCTGGTCTTAGCTTGATATGTTAGCCATACCTCAATTTTAGTTTCTCGTTTAAACAAATATATAAATTTCTCTCCATCACTATTTTCTCCCACCAGGTCTCCTGTCCTTTGAAGAATTAGATCCATCTTTTGGGGGAGATTGTGCAGAATATTTACAGAAACTAAAAAATTTGGTAGATTGTATGGAAGGCTACATACAGCATGTATCCTAACTATGTGATTGCCATTTCACATAGTGACATCCAAGAATGCATTACCTTTGGGAAATCTAGAAGAGAAAAGGGAATTGCATGGACTTTTTGTGAATAGAATTCAAATGAGAAAAATAAATTCTGAAATGTGTACAGATGTAAGGTGTTATAATGATAATGCTGCCTAAGATTATCCAGAAAACTTATTAAGGAAAAAATTATTTTTCTAGAGCTTTTTCACCCTCTTTTTTCTACTTTTCCATTCTGTCTTGGTTCCCCCTGGAGTATAGCAGAGAGGAAAGTTAAATCTATATTGGAATATATTTTAATTGTCCTGTTAGTTCTTCATATTACTTTTTCTTTGAATGTTGCTTTTATTAAAAAATGCTAAGCAACAAGAGAACTTGCCAGAAGTTAGAAAGAGGAGGCATTTTAACACACTGAGCTCCCTTTCCGTTTGCCGCCTTCCATTACCAATGAATTGACAGAATTCATTTTATGAGAGCACAAGTTATTTTATCCCTAATTTGGCTAAGACATTTGATCACTAAAGGGCCAAATGGTCAGTCTTTCCTGTTCAGATGCAATTCATTTAAAAGCATAATGATCACATCTTCCTACACACGATAGGATCTAATGACATCAGAGCACGGATTCGATCAGAGATGGCCTTGAAGATCCAGACCACAACTGGGTCTGGCCAGAGATTGATGAAGCTGATTAATTTGCATTTAATCATCCTTCGACCTTTGAAAGATATGAGTCAGACTGGCACTATTGACAATCTTACATGGTAGGATGTTTGTATAACGATTTTTACATCGGTTCAGTGGAAGGTCTGCAGCAAAGTGCGGAATATCCAGTCCAATCAATTTCAACTCCTGTAAGTGACAGAGAATAGATTTGAGATTTCCATACATACATGGTGTGGATTGGATGTTCACTTTAGACCATTCTTCACTCCAGCCTATAACAGAATCATCACACCCCCTTTGCCATATGAAGCTGCAGAGCTCCCTTTTGAAATAGAACATACTTCTCCACCCCACTCTTGTCTACTTGCTTTGGCCAATGAACTTGGGTAGGAATCATGTTCAATAAGAAGCTTTAAATGTGCTTGTTTGGTTTGGTTTACCCTCTTGTATTTCTGCCATCTGCCATGAAAAGAACATGAGTAGGGAAGCTGCAAGTCCCTAAATGAGGAGACATGTGAAACAGTCCTGACACTGACCCATGGCTGGAAGCAGAACTGTCCCTGCTATTCCACAGACCTGCAGTGAGAAAATTAATTGTTGCTGTAGGTCACTGAGATTTTGATGTTGTTTTGTGTATAATAGCATTATTGCAGAAACAGCTGACTAATATAATACATACATATCTTGGATAACCTGGTGATCATTTGGAGAAGGTAAGGATTATATGCATAATTCTCTGGGTGTGGAAAATCTGAAAACAAGTTTGAAAAGAAATCCATTTCAGATTTTAGGAGGTATAGAGTAACTAAAATGTATGCAGTTTGCACAAATATTTCCTATTCTCTGAGGAAATGTCAGTATTTCTCTTTTAGGCAATGAGCCTTAGAGAAAGTGGTAAAAGGAAGAATGAGGAACAATGAAGGAGTATTTTCCATGTAACAAGATGTTGGACAGGTACTTATAAATATGCTAGAGGCCCGGTGCACAAATTTGTGCAAGGGTTTCCCTTGGCCTGGCTGGCAATAGGGGCCAATTGGGGCTGGCCGGCCGGAGGTAGGGAACGTGGGAGGTTGGCTGTGGGAGCACACTGACCATCAGGGGGCAGCTCCTGCATTGAGTGTCTGCCCCCTGGTGGTCAGTGCGCGTCATAGCAAGTGGTCGACTGGTCGTTCGGTCATTCAGTCACTTAGGCTTTTATATATATATAGACTAGAGGCCCAGTGCATGGATTTGTGCACATTGAAAGGAAATTAATTAGAAGATGGCTGGCAGGGCGGGACTGGGCAAGATGGGCTTAACAGGCCCTGGAGCCAACCTTCCATGGTCCCTCCCCAGCTGGCCACACCTGCGGCAGCTCCAGGGTTCATAGGGTGTCTGCGGAGTGAGCAGGGTCCCTCAGGCAGGTGGGGTCCCTCAGGCTGGCCTGCGGGGATTGGGCTGAAACTAAAACCGGCAGTCCAACATCCCCTGAGGGGTCCTGGAGTGTGAGAGGGTACTCTGCAAAGTTGCTGTCACTTGGTAGCTCCTGTGTTGAGGGTCTGCCCCCTGGTGGTCATTGCGCATCATACCTATGGGTCAATCAGCTGGCCGACCGATTGGCTGTTCGCTTAGCCTTTTATATATATAGGTGGAAAGGAAACCTCAAAAATAAGGATGCATTAGTAGTGGGTAAGTGGAACCTGCAGTGAAAATAAGAACATCCAAATATCTGCCTGTGTGTATCAGTATTCTCATAAATTCTATATCAGAAGGTGAATTGATAGAGCGATTTTTCTATAAACTGACAACCACCACACCTCAAAAAGTTATGCTACTGGACAGATGATTTCTAAGCTGCTTTGTCCTGTGTTTGGTAGGAAACAAGAGTTGTTGTCAAACCACTTAGAGTTCCCTGGGGGCATCGTTCACGCTGTGGTCTGTGTGAATGGTGCTTCCTGAAATTGTATAGGCAAGACCAATGCAGCATACCTACTTATACCCCTCAACAAATTTGCGGGAAATATTAGTAAACAACATGTGTAACCATTTATAAGTGGGATTATCTATATAGTAATGCACTTTTCTATAAGACTATTAACTGAGCAATAGAGAAACCACTTGTACATTTTATTTACTCATGTAGGATGTTAATATTGCAAACAAGTTTTACTTGTCATAATTATTCCCAATTATTCTTTCAATCATAAGCTGGAGGAATACTTCTTAGAGAAAAGAGTTTTGAGAGTCTTTGAAAGACTTTCAAAGGGAGTTGGACACATTTGATGACATTTTGAGAGACTGAACAATGATCTCTCCTTCATGATTCTTTTGTCTTGATTCCAGTGCTCTTTGCAAAGCATATGCTTCTGAATCCAGTTCTTGAAGTTCAGTGTGTGTGCTTAATGGCGTTGGGAGGCAAGCCTGTGGCCAACAAGGATGAACCAACCAAAATTGTCCAGATTTCTCGGTTCCTCTGCTCCCATCGTACTATGACTTTTCTAGCTCACAAAATCTCAAGCTTTTTGACCTAAATTGAAGCATTGTAAAGACATACTATTGGTATACTAACTTTGATCCTTAATTCACAAAATTAGAAGTTTTTCTATCTTAATCAAAACCCTTGCTTGCCAAATGCCTTTAAATGTCACTGTTATTGCTGGTTTTTCCATTTTCGAGGGTTTTTCAAATCATTCTTGTAAGAAATGAAACCTGGTTTTAGCAACTTCAACTAAATCAGTGTTAGGTTAGGTTGTTTTGGCAGCTATACGCTCATTTAAATGATGCTTCTGTTGTTTATTTTGGAAATATACCTCCTTTAAAGAGTGCCTTTATACCCTGGCCGGTGTGTCTTAATGGTTGACCGATGCACCAGGAGGTCACTGGTTCCATTCCCAGTCAGGGCACAAGCCTGGGTTGCAGGGATAGTGCAGGAGGCAGCTGATTGATGTTTCTCTCTCATCAATGTTTCTATCTCTCTCTCTATCTCCCTTCCTTTCTCTCTAAAAATCAATAAAAACATCTTTTTTTAAATAGCGCCTTTATAGATAGCTTGTCAAAACATCTGGCTCATTTTGGGGTACCACTTAAACTGTAGGGGCTTGAAAAAGTAGTTCAATTCTCGTTCACATCAGTGTAATTATTTGTAAGATAAGGCTAATAATTTCTCCACACCTCACTGGTGTACAGTGACCACCAAACGGAATGATTAAACCCAACATATTAATGCAGAACTATGGATAATGGTTGTGAAATGTGTCTGTTTGCCTAGCCCCACAATTCTCCACCCTTTGCCATTTGTACTAACAGACCAGCAACTCTTCCCCCAAGTCCCCTGCTTTGAGGACAGACTGATAAGCCACAGGAAAGGGCGTCAGATACGAAAGAAATGGTGGAAACAGATTGTGGCAGAGAGCTGGGGCACATATGGACGCTGAGTAGCTGATAGAACTTTAATTGTGAGTTGCCTCCCTGCGGTAAATGCCCTAAGTTGATAAGAGAGGTTTAATTGGCTGAACACTGTGAATGTAAATTGCCAGAGCTGAATTGCAGCAAAGGAGGAACCGCATGTACACACAACATGCTCGCAATCTTTTGAAATTCAGCCTGTCGCTAAGTGGAAAATGGAACACACAGTTTCCAGCTCAGTAGCTTTGCAGTTATTTTCTTTCTAACCATATGGAATCTCCAGAGGCTTAAAGCTCCAGAAAGTCTAAGTATGAGGGGATGGCCTGAAACCAGCATAAATCATTTTTGAATTTTCTCTTGCTAGTTTTGATTCTAATATAATTTATCATCATGAGTTTGTTTGTTTTTTTCTAGGCCACAGAGTCACCATATGAATGGTGGTCCCCCCCAAAAGATATGTCCACATCGTAACCCCCAGAACCTGTGAATGTGGCCTTACTTGGAAGGAGGGTGTTCATAGATGTAATTAAGTTAAGGATCATGAGACAAGTCCTTTTTGCATTAACCAGGTGGGCCCTAAATCTAATGACAAGTGTTCTTATGAAAGGGTGGAGAGGAGAAGGCCATTTAAAGGTGGAGGCACAGATGTGAGTTAGGCAGCTGCAAGCCAAGGAATGCCTGGAGCCATCAGAAATGGAAGGTTCTCCTTTGCAGCCTTCAGAGGGAGCATGGCCCTGCTAACACTTTGATTTTGGACTTCTGGCCTCTAGAATTGTGAGAGAATAAATTTCTGTTGCTTACAGCCACCAAGATTATGGTAATTTGTTATGGCAACCCTAGGAAACCAATACAGTCACCAAGGCCCAATGGAAGTCCATCCTCTGTGGCTGTGTTTGAAGCCTGCAAGTCTTGAAAAGCAAAGCTGTATATGTGCACGGTGCTAGTTGTATCTTTCCAATCTCTGCGTTGTCATCATATGGCAGTCTCCTTGTTTCTGAATTGTCGCATAGCTGTCTTTTCATAAGGACTTCCACTGTACTGTAGTAAGACCTCATCTTAACTAATTATATCCGCAAATGACCCTATTTCCAAGTAAGGAAGAATGGGGTGCAGCAGTGATGGGAGTCTTGGGCAGGTGATGGAAGATGGCTAGGAAGAAAGTCAACCTCAGGAGTGTCTAGCAATCGCTACCAGGGCTTTGGGCTCAAGGATGGGATTTAGGGACAACACTCCAATCACTGGACACATTACTGTTACAGGCACTTGGGAACAGAGGAAATTAGAAATGAGAGGAAAGAAAACTCAGGTCTGGAGCAATGTATGATTCCTGGTGTTGGAGAGGGTTCAAGGCAACATTTTTCAACAAGAACTGCAGGTAGGTCTCTAGTGAACTGGACTGAAACACGGGTAAGAACAGTGCAAATGAAAGCTACTCCCAGAAATCAGAGGCCATCCCTTGTGGACTATATGAGAAGTAAAGTAGTTTTGCTTTTATCTTTGTAGACACACATTCCACTAGCATCCCAATCAAACACAAAACACAGAAAATAATGGCAGAATGAGCAGTAGGAGGTATGTTTCGTGGGCTTTCATATTTCAAGCTCTAAAGTCTGGCTCTTCAAAACCTTCTCCATCTGAGACATAAGAAATGAGGAATTGAATCTAATCCCTGGTTCCCAAACCTCCCTAAGATAAGATGTATATTTTTGCTAGAAGGATAATCAGTCTTTCTAGTAGATGCAAAAATCAGATGCATAGTGAAGAGTAATTTATTCAGTGAATGCAAATTAGCAACTTGTATAGTTTCATGTATGACTTATAGATGTATTGGTTGTATATATAAATCTAGACATTAGTTTCAATTTGCATAATGCTTACAAGTGATGAAATTTCTCTATATGGGTGTGCTCTTTCAATGTCAGAATAAAAATGAATACAACTATTAAGCATTAATATAAACAGAACAAATAACTGTCCAGCCAATGGATTTAGCTAAACCAGCTGACTGAGCCATCTTAACACCCTCTGGGGTTTCCATTACAGAGGAAACATTTTTGTCCCTTAAGCCTCAATTAATATCAACTTCAGGAAAATTTGAGGGCTGCCATGTGGAAGGTCCAATATGCAACCTGAAGTCAGGTGTGGGAGTACAATGTGTCTTTGAAAGTAGAGGAAGATACCATGAGGATGTAGGGTGGGTAGGGTTGGGAACTGGCAATATCTGGGAGGGTGTCAAATGAAAAAGAAAGTGAGTCAGACTAGTGGGTCACTGCTTGAGCAAATGTTAGTTCAAAACAAACAATCTGAGCTTGTGATTTAAATAAATCAGAATTCTGGAGAGTAATTTGTATTTTCTCACCATGCCAAGGACACCAAATAAATTATATATATATATATCAGGACTTGACACCAAATGAATTACATATATGACCAGTAATACTCTAAGAACAAAGATTTATGGGGAAAAAACTTCATAATAAATAAAAATACTAAATACTCCTTCAAATCACGGTGTGATGGTTAATTTGATGTGTCAGCTTGGCAAGGTTATAGCACCAAGATGCTTGGTCAGACATCAAGTCCAGATGTCCTGTGTAAGTATTTTTTTAGATGTGATTAACATGTCAATCAGGAGTAGACTTTGAGAAAGCAGATTAGCCTTCAAAATGTGAGTGGATCTTATCTAGTAAATCGAAGACCTTAAGAGGAAAGATGGAAGTCCCCGGAGGAGGAAGGAATTCTGCTTCCAGACTTCGGACTTGAGCGGCAACATCACCTCTTCCCCGGGTCCCCAGCCTGCCCTGCAGATTTCACACTTGCTAGTTCTGGCAGTCATGTGAGCCAATTTCTTAAAATAAATCTCTCCATCTCGCTTTCTCTAAATCCTATTATATCATCTATCTATCTACTTATCTATCTATCTATCTATCTATCTATCTATCTATTATCTATCTATCTATCTATCTATCTATCTATCTATCCCATTTCTCTGCAGAATCCTGACCATCACACGTGAGTATTAAAGCTTGGATGTATCCATACCTCACATTTAGTCCAGTATTCTCAGTAGACTACTATTATCTTGGGACAATTCTTTGCTGTGTGGGACTGTCCCACTTATTAAAGAACATTTAGCATCCCTGTTTCTCTCCCCACTAAATACCACTAGTAGGTTACTCCCAGGCCATATGACAACCAAAAAACAAAAACAAGAACACCACCACCACCAACAACAAAAAGAACACTCCTACACATCTGCAAACCCTGACTAGGGAACTGCCTGGTACTGGCCCCATTGAGAATCACGGATTCAGTGAAGCCTACCATTTTATAGATGAAGAAACTCAGGTGATGACAAATTTGATTTTTTCAATATTAATTAGTGGCAAAATGGTAGGGAGGACCCAGGTTTTTGAATTCTCAGTTTAGTACATTCCTATATCCTTTATAAATTCTGTGAGATAAGCCTAGATGTGTTTAACATCAAAAGCCCTCAATATATTAAAAAGTGAGCATTTAGCACATAAAATTTACAATTCTACTTCTCACATTTTTGAAGCATCTGCAGCTGGGATCTAATCCCTCACTGTTTGGTTATCCCAGTGTCCTTGCTTTGAAAATAACGGTCTCCTTCGATTTAGCTTAGTGCTTCCAGTAAGAGCTGCTCTATTCTTAGGTGATTCTGCCCTCCCTGGCTGTGGTTGGTTTGAGTGGACATCATGGCCTAGGCCAGCCAATCAGAATCATCCCCTGTTAATTTTCAAAATATGAACAAGAGAGTCAAGAGTTCCCATTGGAAACCATGGAAACTATATGATAAGACACAGAGGTTTTTGGTGGTCATGTTTGCCATAGAGACAGAGGTTGGCTTATAGTGAAAGAAAGTGAAGCCAAGACAGAGAGAGAAGCAGAAGTGAGAAATCAAAAGAGGTCTCTGCAGGGGCGTGGCCTCTGGTTCCAATCATACTTTTGACAGGGCTGCTTCCCTGCCCTCCTGGTTCAGCTACTCATTCTTCCCTTTGATCACATGACATAACTTAGCATCCTTGGAATGAATTCCATTTTTCTTTGGTCTAAACTAGTTTGGATTGTGTTCCTGTCATGGACAACTAAAATAATCTTTTCTTTTTACAAAAAATAAAAGACTAATTTAATTTCTAAAATAATAATGCATTTCAGAAGCACAGTAATAGTTATACCAAAGTTTGACGGGAGGTACTCCTCATCCTCCCAGCAAAGGCAGGGATGTAGCTGTGTCACTAAGGTCGTATAATCTTGTAGAAATTAAGAGGTTGTGGCTTCAATGAGGTTGAAAGTGTACCTACATCATAATCTTCATCATTAGAACTATCTAGCTATTTATATTTTCTAAGTTGGGCTTATGTTTTCTTATAAAACTCTCCTTTCATTGATATACTTTCTGAAATGACATCCTCACCATAGATCTCCAATTCAAATGGAATTTCTGCTCTTTGAGATACAGCATTTGGTGCAACATCTATAATTTCTTATGCACCTGCACGCAATGGCTAACTGAACTAGGCTCTATGTGGAATTTCTCATGACACAGGTGGTAGTTAGGGGCTTTGTATCTGATGACATCTGAAGTTCTCATCCTTAACGTCCCTGTTAGAATTTCCACACCAGGATTCCCCATTTCTTGCAGACCAAAGCTGTCCTTGGCTGATGGGTGGAAAGAAGAAATTAATATGAATAATGAGGAGGAAGGAACTACATTCTACAACCTGCTATTTCACAGGAAAGAGCACCTTTAAGGCTTTAAAAAAAATCCACAGTATTTAGAAAAGTCACTTTGTTTTTCCATTTTCTCTGACTCCCCTGAATCATGGACCCCCCGTAGAAAGCTGAAGATGTGCCCGTCCAGACTGTGCTATGCGCTGTGAAATCCATGGGAAGAGAATGTGAGGACCAGTGATAGTCCTCACACTGCTGAGATCCAGGCTTACTCATTCCCATGCGCTCTGACACATGGTCTTGGACTCAAACAAATATGTGTGCCTCAGAAATAGGAGGTGGTGCCAACTCTTTTCTTCCACACAAACCATGTCTAATTCTCCCCAATTTCTCCAAGAAAAGGAAAGAAAACTTCACAAGGAAATATTAAGTAAAATGCCAAGAGTCCTATAGGCAGAAGAGCCCCACCATAGACTCTTAAATGCCCATAAGACAAACAGGTCCATTTCATCCACCATACGGTGGCCCAAGTGGCATGAGACACACACTAAAAATCCCCTGAAAGTGAAATTCTGTTGCCAATCTCAATCGTCAGCTTGCTTTCCCCTGCAGTCTCAAGCACCTTGATTTTCAATGGTAACCTCTCCCATAACTACGTTTGTTCACCTCAGTGCCTGAATCTCCTTTCCTTCATCTGTGCCCCCAGTCCTGACCTAGTAACTAAGAGCTGACATCCTATTTCTGAACCTGAAGATCAGACACTCCTGAGCCCATCCTGTTTATGATGTAACCTAATTCCAGGTGCTGCCCAGTGAGCAGGGACAGGACACCAACCCAAACCTGCCAGTCCCCTTGCCCCATCTACCAGAAGGCAGGGTCTGCTTTATTCACTCACCTCGAATTGAAGAGAAAATTTATAGTCAGAGTCTTTGGCCATATCCCTGATGTAGGCGTCAAAGTCGTCCAGTTGAACCGGGCTTTGTCAAACACAAAGAAAAGTATGTTTTAAAAACCCTATGGACAGGTATTGTTTAACACTGTACTTCTCAAACATGAACACTTTTCTCAGAGAAAATAGTTTTGCTTCCTAAAGGTTAGCACTCTGCTTTTTGTTGTTTGTTTTTTTGATTAAAGTCACTAGTCCCTACTATATTGTAATTAAAAAGAGAGCCATCTATATGAAGCATCCTTGAGATAGGAGATATCTTTAGATTTTCAATTTACTCCAGCAGTAAAATAGTATATACCTGAAAACTCACACATATACTCATATGTGTGGTTTCTAGAAAATTCTGGTTTATGGGGGAAAAAATACGGATTAGACCCTGCAGACTTGTAGGAGTTATGGTTTTACTTTACTTTCTGTGTGATCTTGGAGATTTTACCTAACTCTTCTGAGATTCAGCATTCTCAGCTATGGAATACTGTTATCATACCACCTCACCGTATGTTAAAGAACCTTGCCAGTTTAAATAAGCTTTACAAGTGTAAGGAATTGGGTGCTGACTACACTGTCTCCCCAGGACAGAGGCAGAATTGTGGGTGGAGCAATAGATCCAGAGAGCTGCCAGGGCCTCACTTTGAAAGCGATGCTTAGAGGTTTGCATATCTATCAAATGACATGCAGGTTCAGAGGTACCATCTAATAAGACATCCAAGCATATGTTTCTACGTCTGTAGCAAAAGTTCTCACCTCTTCTCTTGTTTTTTTTTTTTTTTAAGTAAAGATTATGGCTTATTTCCTGTAGTTTTCCTTTTTTTCTTTTTAAATATATTTTTATTGTTGATAGTATTATAGATATCTCCCATTTCCCTCTTTCCCCCCCTCTTCTCAGCCTCTATCCAGCACCCCAGGGCTTCACTACCCTATTGCCCGTGTCCATGGGCTATGCATATAAGTATATAAGTTCTTTGGTTTATCTCTTCTCGTCTCCCCCAACTCCATATTGAGGTATGTCAGGCTGTTCCATGCCTCCCTGCTTTGGGTCTTATTTTGTTGGTCAATTCATTTTGTTCATTAGATTCCACAAATAAGTGAGATTATGTGATATTTGTCTTTCTCAGATTGGCTTATTTCACTTGGCATAATATTTTTCAGGTCCATCCATGCCGTCTCCAATAGTTTTCTATAGCTGCTTACTGCGCCTATACTCTACCTAGACTGACCTGCTCCCTAAGCTTCTGCAGCATGCTGTCTTCTGCCACCTACCCCAAGCCTTCTACTCTGTCAGGGTCCACATAGTTGCCCTTTCTTTTAGTCTTGTTGCAAGTTACTCAGCTTATGTCATCTACAGGTGGCCTTGTATCTTCATAGCAAATACACAGTTCTTAATAGCTATTTGTTTAAAGTTGTTGATTAGCTAATCTGATAGTTAACTTATTTTACTAGATTTTAAAGGCCATTAATACCTCCCAGATAATACATTTAAACTTTAATGGTTTTTCTTAATAATAATAACAACACTAGTGAGTTATATACACCTAAAATATTTACATATGTTATCTTGCTTGATTGATGGTAAGATAGACATGGCCAACATTACCCCATGCTCCAGATGAGAGAGTCAAGGCTAAGAGAATCAAGGGAGTAGTCCAAGACCACATGACCACTGAGCCGTACAACTCTGGCTGGAACCCAGAGAGAATGATTTCCGGTTAAAAGCTTTTGTACTTCAAACTTGCCGTCCTTCCCCCAAAATGGCTAAACGTGGGAGCATCAATAGGAACAGCAAGTCAGAGAAAATATTTAGGGGTTAGAAAAAGCAAAAGCAGGAAAAAGAGGGAAAAGAGAGAGACAGAGAAAGAACCAGAAACATCAGGGAGAGGATGATGAGGAGAAGGATGAGAAAAAGGAAGCTGGGAGGGAGCAGAGATGAGCAGGACAAAGATTTAGAGGGAAAGGGGGGAAGGAGAAGGTGCAGGAAAGGAGTGATGGGATGAAGATGGAAAAGGAGAGCCAAAGGGATATGGTGGTTGGGGGCATTTGGGGTGAAAGAGAAAAAGTAAAAAGAAAGTAAGTAGAAAGTTGGGGAGGAGGGTGAGAAAGCGCCCCAATACATGGCTTTGGAGAAGGAGATCGGCTTAGAGGGAAAACGAGAAGAGGGAATGAGGAAGCTGGCTTGATGCAATGTTCTGGCTTGTGGGCAGTTTCCACCACCCCTAACCTCTACCCAAACTTCTGTCCACATCCTGCTTCTCCTTCTCCTCTCTGCCTGGGCCTTGGGAGGAGCAAATCCTGATGGCGTCTCACTTTTTGGTTCTGAGACCCTGTCTTTTAACTGTTCTAGCCTATGCTTCTCTATCTCATGTAACAACCCAACAGATAATTTGGGCAACAAAGTCTTTCTGTTTCTGTCAAGTCATTCCTTCCAGGTGACAGTACCTCTCCTCTCTTCAGGCCAGTCTTGTGTCTCCTACATCACTTGGTATATGCCAATGGATGCATACCGATTTGAAATAGATTTAGGAAAAAATTATTCTGTCATTTACATGTGCTAAAATATGATGTCACTCAAGGCTATATAGAAATATTTTTGCATCAACTTTTTTGTATTATGTGCTCTGTGACTTTGTCCTCATTGGCATAGATGCCATAGATCTGGCTGGAACCCCTAATTGCCTCAGATTAATTCACCAGTATTCTATCCTGGGCAAGTGTCAAGGATGAGCTCTATTTATAGATGTTCCACTCTTTATATGCACAGTTTAAGTGAAGGCCTGGAGGTGAACATCTAATTAGGCTTTTGAAATCAACTGATGGTTAATTTTCACCCATCAGAATCTTAATTCTTATGACTTAACAGTTCA